AAATATGCAGTTAATATTTGGCCTGCCAGTCTTCCATAGTGCAAATAAAGTAACCTGCTAGAGAAAAAGTCCTATATGTTGGATTGTCTAAAATAGTTTAATTGGTTAGGTTTGAATTTCGAGCAAATCTACTCAAGCGCTATCTGCGCCAGCCGTCCCTAATTTAGCAGTGACAAATTAGAGGAAAGGCAGCTAGTCAAACCACCCTCCACCAGTATTTTACCAACGAATAGTGGGATTGACTGTCACAATGCAACGCCCTCAAGGCTGAAAGAGGAAGCATGTTCGGTGATGAGTATTCGACCCCACGACCCGCAGATTGCAAGTCCCGTCTCCTAGACATCAGGCCATACCAGGACCACTTAGAAATGACTCTTATGTTTTCTATAAAGGTAAATACTCCGTGAGTAGCTTATTTTAAAGTGTAAAGTAACCCACTTTGCTCAAATAATCTTAAAATACGAGACGCAAAAATGTTTTCATGTAATGGTTTTTATGCGACTAGGTAAGTAAAATGTTTTCATGTAATGGTTTTTATGCGACTAGGTAAGTAAAATGTTTTCATGTAATGGTTTTTATGCGACTAGGTAAGTAAAATGTTTTCATGTAATGGTTTTTATGCGACTAGGTAAGTAAAATGTTTTAAAGACAGTAACAGCATGTTCATTTGGCAAACTTCATATAGGTCTTAAAGTCTTTAACGAAGCAAAAGTTATTATTTGCAATTTCAAACTACTGTTGGAAGATTGGAGCATTTTTTTTTCAAGCTTTTCTATCTCTCGGAATCTAATTAAATATTGATTTATTGAGTGAATGAGTGAAACAACTTGTTCAGTGAAATCAAGAAAGACCTTTCTCTGGTCATAAGAGATCATAATAGGCAATGGCTAGCTAGTAATTACACGCTAAATTATTAACTACTGAGCTGAAGATTAATTCCGCTCCATTCAGACAAGCCAATAAAGGCCTACATGCGTCTATACACATAAATCTTAAGATTTCCAGACAAAAAGAAGGAACTTCAGACAATAGGTTTGAAAGCTGAAGAAAGCCTCAATATAGAACCCGAAACATCGTTCGCTTTTATCCAGCAGATAGTTTAAGTCATTAAAGTTCTCACTAAAAATAGTTGTACAAACTTGTAAATCTTTATAATTTTCCCTAAATAAATGGCAATATATTATATAGTAAAATTTCAATTTCTTAAATTTTACTCAAACAATCAGTATTTGCCCCCCCCCCCCCCCTGCTGACTCAACGAGGCCCGGCACGGCCAAGTGGTTAGGGTCCTCGACTCGCAATCTGTGGGTCGCGGGTTCGAATCTCTGTCACACCAAACATGCTCGCCCTTTCAGCCGTGGGGGGAGTAATA